TGGGTTTCGAACCAGGGTAGTTGCGAATATTTTTCCGAAACAAAAGTCTTTTACAGATAATTAACAAACCGCTTATCCAAATTAAACAAATTTGGTATCAAATGAAAGAGGACTTAAATAGCTTCAAAACTGAAATGTCTAAACGAGGAAAGCCACATACTGAAAAATATTTCAATAAAAAATGTTAATTAATTACCATAGAACAAACCATTTGTCAGGTATATGCATTTCTTTAGTATTAAATTATAAAAAAAGTATAAATATACATAGGTCGTTCGTTATTTCTGTTTAAAAGCTGTTTCAGTCGTCTTTCATATGATACCAAATTTGCTTAATTTGGACAGGTAGTTTGTTTATTATCGGGAAAGGACTTTTATTTCGGAAAAATATTCGCAACAACCCTGATTCGAACCCCCGACTTCCCGGCTTGCTAAATCCGCAATCCTGCAGCGGACACAGGGTTAACTAATTCAAGTAGGTACTCATATTCCTATATATTGCCGAGTAAATTTTTTCTCTTCATATGGATAGCACTGTTCTCTCTCATCTTAACAAAAAGCTGTTTCTAAGGTGTATATGATTAACACGACTTAAAACTCTATTCTAAACTTAAAACTGTATTTTAACAAGAATGGCCCGTAGTTATAGTCAAAATAAAGTCGACTCTAAAGTTAAAAGCAGCTTTTTGACATAACTTTCAATGGAATATCTGTCAAAAAACCTGATTTTAACTTTAGAGTCGACTTTATTTTGCCTATAACTACAGGCCAATGAGTTTTAACTTGCGACTATGACTATGGGCCAATATGTTTAAGAAATTTGTCTACCGATTTGGCTCTCAGAGATCGAGCCAACTGAGTATTTAGATTTTCTTCCACGAATGAAACTAGCCTTTCCAGCTGGTGTTTAGTATTAACGACCTTAGACCTGCGTGAAATTAATAAAAATTATTTATTTCCGTCGTGCGCAAAAACTTGCAAGAAACCAGCAAGACGAGAGAGAATTAAGAGAGCAAAAATTACAGCTGAACTTGCAAGTTTAACTGGATTTTTACTGGATAAATTTTTACTAGTAACTATTAGGTTCATTCCTTATCTTTTTGGACTAAAATCTGAAAAGTGTCAAAATGCCAGGGCGTAAGCAAAATGCGCTCACTAAAAGAGAGTAACAGGAAAAGTAAAGGAACGCAAAAAACCAAATTTTTAGTCCAAAGAATGGCAACAACAAAACTAACGTCAAATAAGAACAGAAATGTATGTCAAAACACATTCACACAAGCACAAGCACAATAAACACTTGCTATATCAATTATTTTTTGCCTCCTTCCAATTTCAATTCATTTCTTTTATTTTTTAGATTATNAAATCTGACTACTTCGGACTGATGAGAGTCGCTCTCACTGACTGTTGCTCTCTCATTTTTGCTGTCATTTCCGAGTTAAGGAACGCTTTTTGGATTAAATCTGACTACTTCGGACTTTTTCTGACTATTTCTGGGAGATAAGGAACGCGCATATTTGCTGGTAAGAAAAACAGCTGATGGCATGATGCTTAATGCAATTCACATTACCAAAATAATTGTTTGTGGTGTTTTTAGAGTTGCAATTGACAAAATAAGCTTATTAAAATATATATTAAGATGGGAAATACTATTTTTCTTAGAAAATTGCTTCGGAAAATAACAAATTAATCAGCTGTTCATAAAACTTGCAATTTCCTGCTGGTTTTGCGTTTTCGTACTTTCTTGCATATTTCCTTCATTGGGAGTATATATTGCCTTACTCTCCGGAATTTGGTTACTGGCAAATTACTGGATATTTTTCGCTGGAGAATGCGAAAACACAACTATAATTTGTGAGACACAAAGCTCCATGCAAGTGAATGTTTTTGACTTTGACTGAGCAAATTTTCTTCATTGCGTCATATAAGCTATCCCATCTTGTAACGCCAGGTTTGCTAAGTGTACCTAAAACCCTATAAATGATATCTGCTGTTTTGTCCAGCAGAGTTCCACAATTCGTTACATTTTCTAATGGCATTATGATGTATTGCACATCGAGATGTATTATTGCCTGTTTAAAGGATTCGGTTAACATCTGTTGTAGCTCACAAATTCAACGTATGTGCAGCACACCTAAAACGAAACGCTAATGGTAAATCACGTGAATCAGTTACTTAATCTTCTTCTTCGTCGGAAACATCCTATTCTAAATTCCTCAGTTCTATGTTTGGAATTGATACACCAAAACATGTGAATGCTTTAATGAAGTTACTACCATTATCAGTCACTCTGGCGACTATCTGCGCGGGATTCAAATTCAAACCAGCATGGGCTCAAATCGTAACATCTGTTCAAGGATGAAAAACTATACGAAAGAGAATTACGCGATACGCCAGGCGTATAAGCTGAATGGGATAAAGGGTACGCTCACGTATTTCATAGTCCGAAAGATGTATTTTACGTGACGAGAAATACGGTGTCTTATGTGACGATTCAAGCCCTGAACTCCGTCCACTATCATCGAAATTTATAATTATGAATTCCAGGAAACCTTCTACAAGCTAGTGTTTTACATTGGCAGCCGAGATCCGCATCGAACCAATGAGCAGTTACTCCAAGGAAACTGCTTTTTCGACTTGACCATACATACCGTGGCGGCTGAAATAAAAGACTCGCCTTACTTTGAAGAGTTTTGGCTATTATTCCATGGTTTATTTTATGTTTAATATTTATTTTATAAAAGCCTGGGCATGAATCGCGTAACTTTGAAACGATAGTCGTTCAAACGATACTGACAAAACGATGTTGTCAAAACACTGATTTATGCATTTGTGTTGCTGTTACGTGTTACTGTTACGTGAAGCAAAACTGGAATCGAGTTGACGATATCGCCAAACGATCAAACAATTTTTGATTTTTATGAAGCAAGACAATCTCGACACGATATCGTTCAGACGATTGTCGTCATACGGGATTCATGCCCTGGCTAGCTATACAACAAACACCATATAAATCCCCTTTTCAAACTTAATACAAAAATTATAAAAATTCGACAAATTTTAACCAAATTTTTAAACTTTTTATTCAAAATTTTTATAAAAATGTTTGGTATGCAGTTTCTAGTCCATTCAATTTTAATGTAATAAAGTGCAAGTTTCAAGTGACCAGAAAATACCACTTTATTACACTAAAATTTAATGGGCTACAAAACTGCTAAACTTTCTTCTAAAACTTCCGAATAAAAAGTATGAAAATTTGGTGAAAATTTGCAGAATTTTTATAATTCTTGTTCAAAGTTTGATAAGCGGATCTATATGATGTTTGTTGCATAACTACATAGGCCTTTATGAAAATATGTTAAACATAAAATAAACTAAATAAATATAGCCGACACTCTTAAAAGTACGACGAGTCTATTAATTTTTCCGCCAGTGTATATCACCAAAAGTACAAATATACTGCACGGATTCTTATCCCAGCTAGCACATTTGCCAGACAATTTCTGATATCAGACAAGTCGGAATAAAACGTTGATTATTTAGACAAGTCTTACATGTTTCGTAAAGATTTCTGGGCGAAATGTCTGGAGAATTTTATTTATGTATTTCCTTATCCGATATGTCTGATCGAATTATGTCCGACTTCGGGCATACACGTATGATAACTCTTATTTTCCATGATTATTTGGTCAGACATCTGTTATATATGCGTCAGAATCGTCTGTAATTAAGTCCCACGTCGTGTCGGTTAGACTTCCAGTCAACCTCTCCATACGCTTCTCTGACCGATATCGGCCAAAACCATTCAGAATTCTGAGTTTTTTGCCGACGAGTCTACGACGGATATCTAACAGATTTTGACAATTTTGCTAGCTGAGATGTTAATTTGATGTCTGACATTTGTAGCCCATATTCTTCTTCACAGTGATCTTCGACTGATTACATTTAACGCATGGCTTTGCAAACCTAAATTATTTCACATGGCTATAAAAAGGCTATTGTGCTACACTCAGAGAAACCACTGAATTGATGAAGAGTTATAGAATCCTCGCTTCCAGCTTCCCTGCCTTTTTGTTTTTACTTGTTTGGCATAATCGTGATACTCTGCAAACGGCTTCATTACCATGTTTTCTCTTTAAAGGGCTCAAAAAGTTTGACGACGAATTCGGGGATCCTTTAATTTTTACAATACTTAAGGCTCTGTTATGCATACTTGGCATTGCTTGAGAGTTGTCACATAAGGAATCTGTTAAATGAGCTTCGCGTGTAAGCGGTTACCCAACGCACAGCATTACATACGTAAAAGTCTGTTGGTTTTTGATTTCTATGTAAAAATGGTATAGCAGTGCATGCAATGCCAAGTATGCATAACAGAGCCTTTAGGCTCACACTTCACACTAGAGGTGGGAACTACTACCAACTATCGTTGGTGTGACTATTTCGCAACTTCGCAATTTCTGCAATCATTGTCAGACTATCAATCGTTTAGCAATTTTCCGGAAAACTATCGATACTATCGCGATATTATCGTTAAATAAATTAAAAATAGTGTTATGCTTGAAACACAATACCAGGCGAACGGCGAAGTTCGCCGAATCGGGCGATGCCGTCGTTCACCGTTCGCCCCGCTATTTCGCCTACTTTAACAGAATTAGAGCGGTAGCGAAAACAGCTGATACCATTTCGTCGCACTTATAAGTTAGGTGACCATATTTTGGAAAACGAAACCATATTTAGAAATGATGAAATGATAAATATAAATATAAGGCAAGAGGGAATTATTATAAATTATTTTATTTTAAGCCAGATTTAACGAATCGATCACTGTACTTTCCAACCATCAAACATAATTCGTGTTACATGCTGTTTTCTTTTAAAACTTTGAAAGTAAAGAAAACATACGGCCACCTTTGGCATATACTGCCGCTATCGCCCAGCATAGCGATAGAAATAAATCTATCGCCACGAAACGCCGCCGAGCGAACTTCGCATTTCGCTTTGGCTGTGTTCAATTTCATATGCCGGCGGGTGTTCTAATTTTGACAGCGGTAATTTCGCTGTGGTGAGTTCGCCGTTTGCCGGCATTGTGTTTCCACGGTTAATGATAATTCGATTTCAAAGATTACAAAAGAATTTTACTCAGTTGAAAGTTTCATTCGAATGATTATCTAAATAAGAATTTATTCGAATAATGCCCAACTCTGCTTCGGTTTGGCCGGAAAGCTAAAATAAGTAGTGTAGTACGTTATTTTTCAACCAAAATGTTTTTGTTTACTGTTTTTTTTTAAATCAGTTTTATTTTATTTTGAAAGTATGTAGCTCCGAGTGACTGCATTTATTGGTTTTAATAACCTATGCATAGTGATTTTTTCGATTACATTTTAATTTATTTCATATTAAATAAAAATTACAATTGTACATACTTAAAAAATACGATTCTTATTTCTTAAAAAGTAAAGAGAGAATAGCTATGTATGACACCGGGGTCTTTGGTCTGCGAGTTTTCTCTTCGGTACCAATCTTTTGCTATATATAATTATATTATTTTTCAAGTTGCACAGTAATAAAAATAAAAATAAGAATACAATACATAGAGCATAACCACCCAGAATATCCAGCCAGGTGTGAACACAGTAAATACACATACTTACATACATACATAATATGTATTGTAGTATAGTACATATTAAAGATTTGGTACTTGTTGCTTAAGAATTATATGACTAGTAGAGATGTTTTGACAAAAGCATTTAGTTACTTACATTTACATACATACATTCATTACATATAATTTGATTATAATAATTCCAAAAATTAGTTAAATAATAGACCACATAGAAAACACATTGTTCGTCCCATTAGTGCAGCGCTTAATTTAAATTTAGTACTCATTTAAACACAACAGCAGGTGTTCTTATTTGTCTTGTGTGGTTTTCAGTTTTAGTAGAAGAGTCATTGTTAAGTTAAAAAATTCCAAAAGCAATTAAAAATTACATTTTCCTTTGAATGAGCTAGTTATCTAGGTGTTTGAAGTGCTAACTGCTAGAAGCTACAAATTGTATATTCACAAGAAATGCAGACTCTTCCAACGTCTTTGGTTATTTTTATAGAATTTGAAAATATGTAACTGCTATTTGTGTATTTATGCAAATGTCTTGTTTGTTTCATGTTTAATCTTATTAATTATATGGGTGTAATAATATTTTTATTTAATTTTTTTGTAAAAGCTTAAGTGCGTACTAATAATTTTATTAAATTTTTAATAATAAATAATACCTATAACGACACGTAATTAAATTAAACATTTACTTAAATTAGTAAATTTCAAGATTTACGTTTAATTAATTAAGATTAAAAGTTTTGTTTGTGTTATCTTGATTGCCATACAAATAACAATTATCATCTGGAGCTTCTCCATAATTTTTTAAAGCCAAAGTCAATAGTTCAGTTCTGTTCTTCAAAGCTACGACTACAAATGCACCATTTGGAAGTATCTCACAAGCGGTTATTTGGCCGGGGGGCTTGTAAACAGCAAGTGATTTACCTGAAAATAAATATGCATTAAGAAGAAATAAGTACGTAAATACATATATAAAATGCTTGTGGTATTTGCAATTATAATTGTAAATATTAAGTACTAAAGAAATTCTGCAGGCGACACATCAGTAACATAGTGTGCCACCCCGTACTTTTTGGAGTTAAGGAAAATTGAGATACGGTTTCTACAGGAAATGTGGGTTAAACTGACTGGAAGTCACATTCCGTGGATAAAAACATGCAACTTTTGTTTGCAACATTTTTTCTCGGAAGTGCCTTTATCAACCTATAATGACCTTCGAATTTCAACTCATCCTGGACTTCTAAAATGGTCGAAAACGTTCTTATGGCAAACAAAAAAAATGTGAATCACCAATTTGGAGATGCTTAGTCTTTAAGTACTATTACTTTCGACCGGAAGTGTGACAACATCAAGGCGTACGCCACAAATCGGAGGAGAAGCTCGGCCAAACACTAACATATGTGTAAGCGCCAATCTAAAAAAAAATCCAAATTTATTACATGCGTTCCTCAGAAGGACGCATAAAAAAGTTCTTTACTTTCATACAAAAAAAGGGATGCGTTCCAGCATTTTCAAAAATCGCATAAATTCAGATACTCCATGTAAAAAATTCTAAAAACCTCATAAAAAAATCCAGTGCGGCAATATTAAGCAAAAAAAAATATATATTTCTTCACTTCAACACTTATTATTCCATGTAAAACTCAACATTAATAAATAAATAAAATTTTATCTGTATTTTAACCAAAAAAAAAAAAAAAAGTACTACAATAAATACATGAAGAATACAAAGACAAATTATTTATCAGAAGCGTTGTCTCTTACTCACTGAAAGAAAGTAATAAAAACTCTCAAAAAAGCAAAATCTCTACAGGGAAAAAATGGTTTAAAAACCGCATAAAAAGAGACCTATGTGTATATGGAGTTACTAATATACCTATTGTTTTATAAATATATCGAATTTTTACTGTTTATTTTAACTGTTTGTATGGAGTTATCAGAGTGTAACGAGCTATCGAAATTTTTCGATGGATATCGAAATTTATGGAGCTACCAAGATAAATCGAGTGATCGAAATTTATACAGTTAGTTATACAGTAGTTATCCAAGATTTATCGGCTCAATTAGAACCAGTTTTCGTCTGCCAGATCTTTGCAGCATATTTCAAGCTGAACTTACGGCAATCAACGAAGCATGCGGTAGCTGTCTTTTCTGATAGCCAAGCAGCTATTAAAACACTTAATTGTGACAAATCGTCATCGAGGATTATCATGGAATGTAGACGTACCCTAAATGAACTGGCAAGGTAACAAACACTGTGCATAATATTCAAAAAAATGTGTTTTAGGGTACTTCCACCTTGCCTACATCCTTAATACATCAAACAAGTCGCGGCATTACTAAAAACAATTTCCGGCACTGCTCAAAAATGTATACAGTCTAGAGGTGGCAGATATTGCGTACCTGTGAAAATGTCATGTTTACTCAAAAGTCACGGGTAACTGCTGTGACAACTTCCATAAAGTCACTGTGACAGACTGTGATAAGGGAGCAGTCGCAATGATGTTTTTGTAGTAGGATTGCGCTGCTACGAACTGTGACTATGATAAAGTAGCACTTGTAATTACATAACTGCGACCAGTTATTTACGACTGAAATCTGATTAATGTTGTTTGATATTAAAATTTCACACCATTAAAAATGAATGTGAATGACCAAAACAAACGACGAAAATAGTCAGTGATGCTAAATAAATAAATAACGGCCTTAGAAGATTCCGGTTTGCAACTTTTTTGTCATAGTCACGGATTAAAATCACTGTGACTGCAAAGTCACAGTCACAAATAACGTTGTTCTTCAAAAGTCACGAGATCGCCCATCTCTAATATAGTCCATTTTCCGAAATAGTTGTTTACAGTAACGCACTGATTATAGTACAAACAATGGCATTGCTGCCTTGTGTTTAAAGATATATTGCAACATGTTCGAGCGAAATTCTGTGTACTTAAGTTGAAGACAAACCAAAACTCAGAGTTCCAGAAAGTCACGTTTGGTATCCTGATCTGCATAATCTACAACGCACACAATCGCAATCCCCGTTCGAACTGAAACAAAGTTTGAAAATGAAATTTTGCACACAGATGGTTTGTGACCTGGATTGAAAAATATGCTACTTTCTTAACCACTTTCCCGCTCAGAACAATTTTGGCACACATAATACGGATTTCCAAACGATGGTCTTAGATTGAAAATAATTCCGATAAATCAAGAGGGCGTGGCCCCTCCCAAATATATTGGAATTTACAGAATGCATACTTATCTCTGGAAGTATTTGGGAAAGAGTACTGGAACTTGGAAATCGCGATTGAAGTTTGGAATACAATTTCTCAAAAACGCGGAGATAGATTTTCTCCAAAGTCTCTGAAAATGTTACTAGTTCACAAAACTCTTAAATTATTTAATTTTTAATGTTTATTGTTAATTAGTTTTGAGTTTATGAAGGATTTTCTTTAGTAAAATTTACTCGTAAGCGCCATTTGTCCACAAATTGGCAGCCACTTTGTATGAAATACGACAAAATGTGACCAAAATTTCTACTAAATTAACGACACTTTTTACTCAATATCTCGGAAACTAAAGGAGATGTACAAAAATTAGGAACACCATTTCTAAGATATTGATTAGTTTAATATGACTGTATCACTAACTAAATTTTTACTAAATTATCGAAAAAATTGTAGTCAATATATCGGAAACTAAAAGAGATATCTAAAAACTGATGACACTAATCGAAATACCTGATTTCAAAATATATAACTGTATCTAGAACAAAAATCGTTAAAATAGCGTATACGACAATCTTTTACCCCGATATGTGAAATCAAATTCATATTCACGAAGAAAAATGGGCATTTTTGGAAAATACAAAAAAAAATCCATGTCCATGTAGAAAAATTGGAGCGTGGTTCCTCCCGTACAAATTTACTATTTTATACTGCATGTCTCTAGAGGTGTTTATGGTAGAGTGCTGGGACTTGGTATTGGGATATATAAAATCAATTCCATACTCATGGAAAAAAATAAGGATTATAAGAAAAGGGGGGGCGTGGCACTTCCCGTATTGACTTTTTCTTACCACATATCTCTGGCAGTGTTTGTGGAAGAATACTGGAACTAGGTATGGAGTTATTTATTTATTTAAAATGTATCCAATGCTCATGGTAAAAATTCGGGTTATTAGAAATGGAGGCCTCCCATATATACTAAAACTATTATAATACATATCTCTTGACGGATAGATACATATGAGATTTATTTTATCAGTTCCGTACTGGCAGACAAAATTTCAGTTAATGGAAAAGGGAGAGCCGGCTTCGTAGTGGTGGGAAACTCTCGATAGTCACACCATCGCTAGTTTTCGCAATTTCTGGAAAGACTATCGATACTATCGCGATAGTATCGTAAAAAAATTAGCCGATTTTAAAATGATTTTTTTTTTTTTTTTCAGCCAAAATGTATTTAATTCAAATACATATGTATGTGTGTTGATGTTGGTTGATTTTTCCGACGGGGTGGTAAGATGATTTATTTTGGAACGATTTTCCGTCATCCCTTTGTCAAGTTTGATGTTAATATCGAGACAGCGAAGATTAACCTATTACCGGCTTCTAAAAAAAGGACACTATGGCATTTCTAATAATTAGTCATCGACGATCGATCACATTACCTACGATAAATGAACATAAATTAAGGACAAAAACTCGAACCAGATAGAACGAAAAATGACACTGAAGATGGCACAACGCCGAAACCGGTTTGTCTGCAAACCAAACTTGACAAAGGATGACAGAAATTCGTTCGAAAATAAATCACATATGTATGTACTATATATTCAGTCCTTGAAAAAAATAAGTTACATACATGTAAAACGTTAACAAAACTGATTTACATGCTTAGTATGCACAACAATACAAATTATTTAAATTTTATGACAGAAATTTGTTTTTACAGTAAAACGTACATATATGTGTGTACAGTGCTTTCAGAAGTATTCGTTATCAGTGTACGAAAATAAACTATATTGTACGTTACTATTTCGTTTCGTTTATTACTTCTACAGTTCGATACAATACGAAAACAAAACGGCTGAGTTCACTTTGCGATAGTACACTACAGTAGTTTAGTAGTTACAGACGAAACAACAAACGAAATGAATCGTGCATAGAAAAATATGTGTATGTATGTAGTACATATTTTTTAATTGAATTGGATATGAAAATTTACAGAAAAAAATGAAACGTTTGCATACATATAAAACGTACCCTATGGTACAATTGTCACAAACGAAAATCTAACGTTTCCCGTTGGGGAAAATGACAGTGAATCTTACAATTTGTTTCTGTCTATGTACAAAACTGTACAAAACCACAAATGATATGATGATCGATGAGCAAATGGGAATTGTTTTGTACAGTTTATTTTCGTACCCTGTTCGTTATTTAGTTTTTTTTCACAATATTCAAAATGTTTTCCATTAAAAATGTTTATCGGTAATTTATATTTAAAATATGTATATGTACATAGCTCATTCTGCTACAAAAACCATAGGGATATTCTCGAAGACTTGCATAGCCCTTCCACGGTTAACGGGCTGCAAGATATGCAAGACTTTCACATAGGAAAACAAGTTTTTTACCGTTCAATTTGAGCACCGTGCAAGAGCTTAGTATTTTAAATTTGCTAACATGTTTATAATGGAAAACATTTTGAATACTATGAAAAAAACTAAATAACAAATACTGATACTGAAGTGAAAGTACATGCATACGCATGGGCCAGGTAGGCGCGGCAGGTTTTGGACCAGTCTAATACATAAGTACGTATATAAAAGGTTCTGATATTTTTTTGCCCATTACCTGTATTCAGTTCCCATACGCGTATGGAGTTATCACGTCCTTCTTTATCTCGTGACAGCAATACCTTTCCCAGTGGATCCAATTTTAAAAATGTCACCGGCGCATTATGCCCAATAATAGTTGACCTACAATTGCCTGTTATCAAGTCCCAAATTAATATTTTCGCATCTTCCAAACCAGCTATAACGCATGCATTCGTTTGTGATATCGCCAAGGATACGGTGTTACAGACAGGTTTCCATTTCTTAAACAATGTACCGCTTTGTAAATCATAGACGACAATAAAATTGGGTGTAGGTTCATTTAGCTCTTTGGCAACAACGCAAACGTATGAACCCTCGTAGGTAATGGCCGATAGCGAGGTAATGAAATCATGATGTGGAATGCGCAAATCGTAGAGTAGCTTCTTCTGTGATAGATGCCAAACCAACAGTGGAAATGGTTTTTGTGTCTCATCGCCGCAAACAAGAATGCTATTGAGAAAAAAATTAATATGTAAATTAATGGAAAATATTAAATGTACACAATAAACTTACCGTCCATCACCAGAAACTAGCAGCGAATTAAGAAATCGGTCTTCGCCAGCTTTGAAGGTCATTACGCAATCCCCGGACTCCAGATTCATGAGATGGACATACATACGATTGCGTGATAAGCATACCACATGATTTTGATCATGCAAGCCAAAGTATGGCATTTTCTGATTCATAACCCCTTTCAAAGTTATCTAAAAAAAATTATTTATATTCGCATTGTTGTGATCAGTATATATACCAATAGGTTTATTTATTTCTAAATATATGTACATAAATGCGTCTACTAATAATCCTTCCGCTGCTCCGCGTGTCGAATGGGCTGTCGCAAGCACACAGGCTACTTAATTATGGATTTTTTTTTACACATTAATAAACAAATTTATCAAGGCCGTAGCCAGGTAGGGGCTTATAAGATGAAGTGTTTGGCTGAGCTGCTCCGATTTGGGGCGTGTGCCTTGATGTTATAACACAAATGGGTGGACCTACAGTGTTTGTACCGCCTCCAAATGGCAAATGGTTTTAGATGTTGCTCGGGCTAGCGATCGAACCCAGGTCCTCGCGGTGGTAGTACGCACTTGGCCACAGCATGTGCCATTTGCACATGAGGCCTGCAAATATCTTTAGCTTTCATGCGGATTGTGGCTATTCGTTTACTGTTGGTAATGAGTTTGATACAAGTTGTTGAGGCCTCCGCCCAACTACAAATCACACATTAAATTTGTGCGCCCTCTCATGGCAGCTGTAATAGATTTGGCATGCTGCAAATTTTTCGCGAAACCAAACCAGCAAATGGATAGTGACAGCTTTCCTATAAAGAGTCCGCATATTTTAAGCGCATATCAGTAAGTTTGGGGGAAATAAACCGAGGGTGTTTTGGGGTTTCCATTGGGTATATTTATTACCTTACGGGTCCCAACCCAATACACAACCCATTGGGGGAGAGTATTTGAAGATGCTCATTCATAGAGCGCAAGTCGCTTGCTCCAAGAAAACAGACGCCCGATTGTAGCTGAACAGCTGCTGCGAAGTCGGAGCCTCCTCTCTTTCTGTCGTGAACCTGGAGGACGCAAGAGTCGGGATTCAGTATAGTGGTTCAACCATAACTGCATACCCAGAAGAAGGCCAATAAGGAAAGGAAAGATTTTCTGGACTATCGAAAACAGCGAGATGATTGGGGAAAAAATATTTGAAGAGTTTGCTGAAAATCCGTTTAGCATAAAAATGATTGAAGAAAAAGTTTCAAATGATTTTTATGTGATATGTTAACCTTTGCCTCTCGCCCCTCTACATAACATCCTGCCAGCGTCCTTGAGATTTACGTTTGGTCATTGTGAGGCAGAGCTACTTTTATTAAGTCTTTCGTGGATATATAAATACATATATAATTTAACTAGCAGACCCGGCGAACTTCGCCCGCCCAAAATTAATTTTTTTGATTGAAAAATTTTGGTTCAACATTGTCACAGTCTAGTTCATGATTTTCAGTGACGCATTTATCGTCTAATATTACGGGTTGGTGGTTGTTAGAAGGCATACTTCCCTTACCATCCTAAATAACCTAGCAAAAGGCGCCAAGCCCCCTTATAAAATAGCCACAATTTTTTCTAAGAGTATGGGATTCATTTCATATTTCTCCATACCATGTTCGAGTACTCTACCATGAACACTTCTATAGATATGCACTATAAAAAATTCGGTTTGTATGGGAGGTACCACGCCCCCTTTTCCAATAACCGCAATCTTTTTCCATAAGTATGCGATTGTTTTCATATATCTCCATATCATGTTCGCGTACTCTACCATGAACACTTCCAGAGATATGCCACGCCCCCTTTTCCATTAGCCCCTATTATTCTTCATAACGATACGATTGATTTCATATATCCCCATACCAAGTTTCTGTACTCTCCCACGATATATGCAGTATGAAAAATTCGGTTTGTGTGGGAAGTGCCACGCCCCCTTTTTCAATAACCACAATTTTTTTCCATGAGTATGCGATTGTTTTCATATATCTCCATGCCATGTTCCGATTCACATACCCACCATATATGCACAAAAAATTTCATAGAGATCGGTCAAGCCGTTTTAGTTCGACCATTAACACCGTGACACGAGATTTTTTTATTTTAGATAATCTTTAGTCAGAGCGTGTTTCTATTCCACTCACTATGTGTTTAGGTATGCCGATTCATCATATCGATATCTGCCAAATCCACACATCGCAAATGGTTTGGTAAACAAGGAAAGGTTACGCTGGAACACAAGGACGACTCAAGCCATAGGTATGATGTTAACGACGATGCTTCTTGTAAGGCAAAAGTGGAAAGAGAGAGACGTTTTAATGCTGGCTGTGTATAAAAACCGATTTCTAAATCTAACCGGTTTAACTGAGGGGTGAGATAGATGGCAAGCGTCATTCTCCTTAGTACAATACGTCCCAGCCCACGCAATAGTTGTGTTTTTTTCGCTGAATTATGTCTACGTCGTTAAAAAGTTCGTACAGTTTGTCATCCTATCTTTCTCAAAACGCTTCGCCAACACAAATAGGGCCACGGATTTTGCGTAGAACTGTTCTATTGAATGCACCCAAAGTCTTCTAATTTTTGTTCGACATCGGCCATTTTTATGCAGCATGTAAAATAGCGACCATGGTGAGAGTTTTGTAGAACGCATATTTTTGGAGAGAGCTCTAGTTTTTAATTGCCTATCAAGAGTTTTTATTCACTTCATCTCTTCTTTATCTCCTTTTTGTAAACTGAAAGTGTATTCCAGCAGCTTTTTCTGTATAAATGGTGCCGCTGCTGTTGGGCTTGGCAGCTCTTATTGCAGATTGCAGAAGTTGCAACGAGAGTGAGTTACCCTGCCTAAAACTTCGTTTGATCTGAACAGCTCGGAAAAGTCACTACGAATTTGAACGGAGCTAGAGTTGTGATCAACGTCACTCTACCTAGCCATATAAGTTTTGTAGGGATCTATAACTTAGCCATGGCTTCGTAGAGGGCAGCTTCTCTTCGTACTATCAAAAGTGGCTTTAAAATCGACGAAAAGAAGGCGTCTGTTCATTTTATTGTCTAAGGTCGATCGTGGATTTTCCAGGTCTGAAGCCACACTGATAAGGTCAAATTATTTGGTTCATAAAGGTCTTCAGTATTATGCATAGAATCGTCGATCGTGTGCAATACAAAAAAGGCTCGGTGATCGGGGAAAGCATCTGGATCTCCTTTCATGTGAATTGGGCAAAGTACACTTAGCATCTATCAATTAGACCAAATTCTGCCTTACAACTGGTTAATGAGTCCTATCAACTCTACACTACCGGTTTTGAACAGATCAGACGCTCTTTCAGCGGATCCCGGAGCTTTATGGTTTTTAAAAGTCATTATTGCTGTTCTCATTTCGTCGTGGTCAAGTGGAGGGACATGAGCTTCGTCTCTAAACTTCGCTCCGTGTTTTTCTTTGTCACATTCGCCACCTGTGTCGCCATTCAAAAGCGTTGAGGTGTGTTCCTTCTTTGACGTTTTTTATATGACCTTCATCCTTTTTGGAAGAACTAGCGCTTGAAATCATTTGATCTTTTCGTTATTTTCTTGATAAAACTGTCGCACCATATTCTTGCCGTCTAGCAGCTCAAGCTCTTCGCACTAACGTCATTAATTATATATTATCTCTGAAACCGCAACTATAGCCGAGTGGTTAGATAGCTTACCGGCACTTGGCACAGTCTAAGTTCCATTTATAGTTCGACAAACAACCAAGGTATTTTTTAATAGCGGCCGACCTTTGGCAATGCCAAACATCTGTGTGTATTCCTATCATGAAACAGCTTCTCAAAAAAAAAAAATTTGCTACATGGTTGCAAATCTAGATGTTCCCTCAAATGTCATACGCAGATACATCGTCTTTAGAAGGGGACGGAGAAGAGCTCAATTAGCGGAAAAGGAAGCCATCTCCATCTACATTGACACGGCTAAAGTGGACTGCGGTGTACTGTGGCTGAAAAACTATGCCAGCATATTCCAAACTGAAGTTTTGGGTATCTGTGAAGCCTACGGGTTTGTTACGAATAGTGTTACCAGAAAAGAAGAACAATGATTTATTGTTATCGTTTTGTCTGATTTCCCGGCCACAGAAACACAAAAATTAAGGAAAGAGCAGCGAAGCATATTAGACAGCAGCTTATCGTTTTTGCAAAACCGCCCATCTCCCAATTGTAAAACCGCCCATCTCCCAATTGTAAAACCGCCTATCTTAGGGCACTCAAATTTTACAGGAAAACACCCGCTAATTTTAACAGGCAGTCGATTAAACGGGCCCTTACTGGTCTAAACGGTACTGGGATACCTTCTGAAGCAAATACCAACAGAGCTGACGCTTATAGAAAAGGTTTTCAATTTAATCTTTTACTATACTAAATTCCTTACCTTATATTTCCCTTCGTCCAGGTTTATCACCTTAATTTCACGCCGACATAAAACAGCCGCCTCATAGTTGCCAACTGGACACATAGACGTCGGCTGCGGTATGCCAAATAATTGCCGCACTCGCGAACAACTCTGCACATCCCAAATGCATATTTCCTCCCGTTCGGTGCTTATCGATGCCACATAGTAACCTTTTTGAGGCAAATTGACCAAAACATCATAACTACTAGTTGATACATCCTCTTCAGATCCCAAATTAAAATTTAATATCTCCATAAAAGGTATTTCGATCTCATTGGTATACTCAAGCCAAGAGCGAATCTTTTCATCATCTTTGAGTGTTATGTCGTCTCTTATGCGTACTTTCAGATAGTATTTAATTAAAGTGAAAAACTGATGACCATCATAATTAAGTTCGCGCATATAGTTTGTCAAAAAGTCCTTTAAAAAAGCGATATGAATCCAGGATTGCACTTTAATTTTTGCCAACTCTTCAGACACCAATATATCATGCATTAAATAGGCTGGGCCATTAGAATGAACTTTATCGGCAATCCACTGAAGATCCGTGAAATAGAAACAATTGAACAGCATTTCGATTTTATCCGGTGCTGCATTATCTTCAACTATGGCACAGAAATGATGATAAGGCAGTTTTAAGTACTTTTGGTAATTATAACTGAAAGTGAAAACAAAAAATTGTAGACTAAAATGCCAAAAACGACCTTACTTAGCTGCTTTTAAGCTTACTTTGTTATATGGCCATTTCCGTGTGCATTTGGCAGTATGCTCTGTTGTCGATCGAAGTAGTCACGTATTGATTTGTGTACCAGCCACCTTTTATGTGTATACCTCTTGAAAACAGCATTTCTAAAACACTTATCTGCTATGCGAATATTTTTTAAAAATAATAACATGGGTCCCATCAGCCAGCAAAATTTCGACCATATCTTAAAAGCGACCTGCGCTTCTAATTGTGTCTGCTTTTGAAAAATACCCAAGCAATCGCTCTCACGTATGCCCCAATCCGAAACGGCTACAATCAACAGCATTAATTCAACATGTTCTGTTTGGAATTTCGATTCCAAAATTTGAAGCATTTTATCCAAAACATCCGCAATATCCGTTATACTAATGGACATGTGCGACAGCCAAGCCAACCACCACAACGATTTCGCGTGTAATGGTGTTTTGCCACGCAAACCCTTCCATTCTTCGGGCAATTTGAGTGCACCATTGGACGCGTAAAACTCACTGCCACCGGAACTAAGTATATCGTTCCACTGGCGTTCAGTAAATTGCTTCATTTTTATAAAGCACTTGTTGGGTATGCCTAGATCGCACAAATTTTTTAATATGGGATTTTCTTCTCTATTATCAGTTTCCGTTATGGTCACTATCAATTTGGATGTACTATTCAGGTGTACCGGCAACCAGTTTAAGTCTGCTTCGTGTAGGATTTGATCCAAGGAGTCGATAATAATAACCACAAAGAAATCTTTATTTTCAAGCAGCTCTTTTAGTATATTTGAATAACCTTCTATTGTCTACAATGAAATGAAATAAATACTATTTACTACCTATTTCATGATGCATATATGAAACTGCATATCTAGCTTAGAGTGCAAAGTTGCAAAGTCGATTTTTTTTTTTAATTTTAAAGGAAGGAAAAGCTTCTTATAGTCATTTTTTCCCAGTGTTTTGCAAATCTTTGAATACAACATTTTGCGTGTTCAAAGCAAAGCAAAACTCCACACGCATAAGAAAGATTCGATATTTATTAAAAGATATTTTGGCCTTATCGAAAATTCGGTGTTTCTTTTGGACTTAGAATATAAACGAGAAAAAATAAAACAAGTGTCCTAATGCTTTTGGAAATTATGCATTTTTAATATCCCTTGCTTCCCATTATCAAAAAATGAGTTTTTATTAAAAGTGGACTTAGCAACTTTTCCCTGTAAGCCAGCGATATGTATGTATATGGATATGTAAATATTTAAGAAGGTACATATGTATATTTGAAACTTACATGATCACAATTGCATTGAGAGCCATTCACCAAAATTGACAATTGATCTGTTATGGACCCCAGTAATGATGTTAAATCAGAAGATCGGACTGTCAAATTTGCATATCTGTAAAAATATATATTGAAAGGTTTTTTTAAATTTTATAGTATACTAGTCAAACCGGAGGCCTTTAAAACGCCAAAAATTGAATTTCAAAAACCTAAAAAAAATTCCAAATGTTAGTCAGAGTTATGCACGATCGGAGTGCCATAAAGAGACTCGCATATTGCCGGCTTTTAATTTCATCAAATTTGAAATCAACCTGTACCGACAAACAGTTCTAACTTCAAAAAGTAAAACCTTATCTACAGGCCAGGGTCTTTAATTTGACCCATCAATTTTGATTCGAAATAACGTTGCAAATCTAATGATCTTCACAAAAATGCCTTCCCGTATAATATATATGTATGTATGTATACTTAGCTAGATCGACATGACGTTTCGAAAAGATGGCAAGCCCCTAATTAAGACATTTTAAAAATCTCTTTTGATTGATACTCATATTTTGGTTTTCAACTCGTGTACAAGTTAACTAAATTCGACTATTCAAACAGGTGGAAATGCTTTTCAAAAGTATTTTCAAACAAAAATCTTCTTTCATCTCTTTCGTCTGCATTGGGTGGTTCGCGCCTATTCGGCAATTTTTTTTGGATATTTGTGCGTAAAAATTTAGGAAATCGCCATTGGCGCTTTTTGGCGATTTCAATTATAAAAATATACAAAGCTTAGTTTTCCACAATAATTCTACAGAAGAGGTTAATGAACTGCGTGATAAACTTGACTTAATAAGTATACTAAAGGACTGTCAAAAATGTTTAATCACCCTAATCGTAGAACTTTTGAAACGATTACCTAGTCACTTAAATACTTAAAAAAAATCTTTGATTTTGCCACCAGAAAAGTGTGTGAATCACAAGAGGGCGAGTTTCAGGGACCTGCCAATTCACTATTTGACTTTGAACGAAAGAAAAGCAGCGGAAACTGAATATTTAAATCTTTTAACTTTCCCATGGAATAACTTTTTTCAGAACCACTCCATCCGACTGTGAAAATTTTTTTTATAGTTTCTGCTGCCAAACGTTTCCAATATCAAACAGTATGTTATCAAAGTTGAATAGCTCAATATATGACAACAACGGAAATGTAAATCATTCAGATTGTGGAAATAGCTGATCTCGCCTTATTATAGGTTTTCATTTAATTTTTAGCGCCGAGCTCTTAAAAGCGGATTGTGCGATTAATTAACTATTATGAGTCGTAATAAATTTAATAATTGCGCAGTCCTATTGGAAAATGTGTTGATACAAATATTTTTAAAAAGTATGCGTATTTACAAAAAAAAAAAAATGGGTACATCACTATTATATAAGTGATTTGTGTTATTTATTATTACCCTCTGAAGGTATTATATTCGTTTTTGGTTTTAAAAACTATATTATAGCAAGATCTCATTTTTAAAATAAGAGATTTGTTAAATCGATTTCAGGAATTTTATTTAAAAAATAATAATTGGTGATTTTTGACGATTTTTTTCAGAAATTGCGCTTTTTTCTTAAACAATCTGGACACCCTGAGTACCACTGAAAAGTACCGGATCGCTTTCTAGTAAAGAAGGTAACTTCTTTCAGTTTCAACATAACCTCCAAGTTTAGCTTATTTTGTAAGTAAACACGCTCACATATGTAAATAACCAACAAGTAATTAAATATTGTATAACATGCATTAGCAGAGTGCACTTTTCATTTGTTTATAATTTGGATGTCAAAGTATTTAATATCAATTTATAACACCGTGCGACAAAACAAAAAAATGAAGTAGTCCATATACTCACGAAACTATGGGCTATTATGATCGATAGGTATGATCGATTCCAAAAATTATTTAAAAAATTCATTCCAATGTAGAAAACAGTATGGGCACTAAATGAAAGAGAAAATTCCATAAAATTAAAAAAAAGTAAAATTGTTTGGTTGACAAGGACGAATAGGTACTGAAAATGTCCTTTAAACTAGTTTTATTTTTTAAGCGAATAAAGGTAGAAGGACGAAATTCAAGGATGTGGTCGAGTGCAGTTTCGTCCCTAAGATATAATTTTTTCGAAAATAATTATGGTAAAATTTCAAGGGTATTTAATGATAAAATATGAAAAATACATTTTCAACACCTACTCGTCGCTATGCACCAAAAAATGTAATCGGGCTTAGTTCTACAGAATTTTCTCTTTAATTTGACAGTCATTCTACATTCCCCTGAATTTTTTATATAATTTTTTGAAGCAATTATATTTTTAAAATTTCAAAGTTTTTAAAAAAATCCCATGGTTTCCCGGAATATATAAAATTTTGTGTGTGTAAAATTTACTGTCGCACGGTGTAATCAGCTGTTTGAAATATAAGCAGACCTTAAGTTGCACTTAAGTTTTTGGTGAAAAAGTTCTCGGTGAAACGCAAAATCTTAAAAACAACAATTTACTGCCGCACGGTGTAATCAGCTGTTGAAAATAGTTGCACTTAAGTTTTTGGTGAAAAAGTGCTCGGTGAAATCTTAGGCTAGACGTAAGTTAAACTTAAAAATGCATTGTAATACCGGCACTAAGCCTTTTCTTAAACACATGGCAACTCTCTAAAAACTCTGAATGTTCAGACTACAAATTTCTTACACACTATTTGGTTTGACTATTTTCTATGTTGTAATGTTTCGATAACCTATGTATTATTTAACTAATTTAGACTTAGACTTAGAACAGGTGGTAACCCTCTTCATATATTTTTAAACTAAAACCTTCTTAAACCTTTTTCATATGACACCCATATTGTGATACATATGTATGTATTCCAATTATCTAATTTCCTTAATTAAAATTGATATTCGTCCAACTTCTTAAGTAACTTGATGTACCGTTTTAAACACATGGCAACCCTCTTGAAACATTCCAAATGTTGAAACTTAACACTCTTTCGTTTGGAACCCGTATTTATTATATTTCAAATATAACTTTAGTATTTAGGTGGCAGACCTCTTCAAAACATTTTCAAGCTATTACCTTCTTAAACCTTTTTTGTATGACACCCATATAATGATATATATTTCGATATAAAAAAAAAGAATTAAAGATAGAAAATAAAAATAAAAGAAAAAGAAAAATGCAACTAATGCTAAGACTAAAAACTAGCGTTATTACCTAAGTAAAAACACAACGAGAGAAACGTAAACAAGTGTAGATACATACGTTTACACATGATAAAAACATTAGAAGGTAAAACCATTCTCTCAATTCGTCGGCCATGATTTTTTTCTGACGTTTGCAAACATTTTAAAATCATATAAAATTGAAAATAAAAAAATGAAGTTGTTCACAATTGTTGTTGTTTGGGATTAAAAATGAGAATGTGTGTGTGAGCCTGAGCTCGAATTTTAAAATTATATTGTTGGCTAACGTCAGACTACCTCTCAATGATTTTACCTTGTAATGTTTTTATCATGGTAAAACCGTTCTCTCAATTCGTCGGCCATGATTTTTTTTTTGAAGTTTGCCAACATTTTAAAATCATATAAAATTGAGAGTAAAAAAAGGAATTGTTCAAAGTTGTTGTTGTTTGAGATTGAAAATGAGAATGTGTGTGTGAGTTTGTGTGTAGAATTTTAAAATTAAATTGTTTGCAAACGTCAAGAATTTGAAAAATTCCTCTCAGCGGTTCTACCTTCCTATTTTTTTATCATGCGTACACATATGATAATTCTAGCAGATAGCGAAACTCAGAGCACAAAAACGTATTGACGAAAGTACGAAAACGACACATTCCTAAAGTTGCCCTTGCTTAAGCTGCAGCGAGTAGCAGCTGGAATAGAATTCCATAAACGCGTGGCGTTGACCAAAAATAGTCTTGCAGAGTTAAGATAATTATAGCTAGGTAAAATTAAGTCGCTTCTATGGGAAGATTTTAAAAAGGCTAGCTTAATATACAGACAGCTAGGCAGCTTATCCGACATTAAACGGAATAGAAAAATACAATTCCTTGCTTTTAAGTATGTACTCAGATATCTCACAGCTGAATAGGTAAGATCTCCAACTGCAAATGTGATCAAATTTAGCCAAACCAAATACATAACGTGTTACGTGATTGAAAACTACTTAAATTTTATGGGAAGATTGAGAACTAAGTTTGCTGGAGAAACATTCAGGATAACAGAATATTGGTAAAATCAGTTGTATGCCAAGTTTTCTCATGATGTCGACCGGCGTAAAGGATGCAGACATTCATAAATTACGTAGAGTGATAAATACTTTACTTATTATGAAGTTTACGTGATCATCACAGGAAAGACTAGAGTTGATTACAAAACCAAGGTTCGTCACTTTAGACACAAATTTATAACACTAATTATTAATACATAGGTTAGATATGGCATAGTTTTTTATGCATTTTATACTATCTGTACCCTCATAAAGATTTAAAAGAGCAAAAGTCAATGCATAATGTGTCTTTAAAAACTTTTGTCAAACCAAAACATACAATAGATATATCCAAATGAGAAACTGGGCGCTGAAATTTGATTATTTCTCCTTGAAAATATGCTAAAATAATGTAGTTGTATCAACTTTCAATATTTTATCTGGGGGCCTTCTGGTGGAAATGCCCATATACCTAAAAAAAATATGAATAAATATTTGGCGCTTAGAGGGCAGGACTAGGATGAATTTATTCACACACAAATTTATTCAAGCAAAAATATTTTGGGTAGGCATCGGGGCCAATACGGCTTCTAGCGCTGTGGCTTTACTTTTCTTATGTAGCATGAGTGCTTGAGTTGCTGCTTCCTCTTGTATTGCCACATATGAAGCGGTGTAAGATTGAGAAAATGTTCCATAACTTTGAACTAGTGAAGGACTTTGTCGACCTAGGATCTAGCATAAATATCACCAATAATGTCAATCTAGAGAACAAGTGGAGAAGAACTCTTGTCAACAGCTGCTACCTTGGTCTCGGTGGGCAAATGTAAAGCAAAAGCCTCTCTTGACGAACAAAAATCACGCTCGACAAATCTCTCATCATACTCGACCTTTTATATAGCGCAAAAAAGTGAACAATGATGTGAAGGCATTAGATTATTTCAAGAGAACTGTTCTACCAAATTTCTAAATATGACTGAGGATTGGTGGATCCTCAAAAAATTACTCCTAAAATTCATATATTCTCGAAGTTTTAGCTGAGGGAAAGTTAATAAAATATTTAGAGCACATGCGCGTATGCTTCTAAAAACTGTAAACCAAAGTTTACGCAATATTTTAGATCGAGTTGTATTTATTTAAAAAAAAACCGCAGTTTAGATCGCCAATGCTTACCTTAATATCAAATTAGCATCAGGTTTCCACCGATGAACGTTTTCCATAATTTTGGATGCTAGCACACTCTTCCCACAACCGCTGGCGCCAGATATTACTAATGGCCATTGTGTATTATCCTTAAGGTATCTGAAAAAAACAACAGCAGAACAGTTAAACGAGGGCATACCGTTTTAATTAAAAGAATACTACTACCTACCTCTTCACATCATTCATAATGTCAAAATTAGCAGAATTCTGCGCCAATATTTTGGAATAGTGTGCAATTAGATGTACTTCTTCTAAGAGTACCTTGTCTACCCCATTTGTATTGTAGGGTATACTATTTTTATTTTGATGTTCCTCGAAAATGGATGTGATCGATTTATCCAGCAAGTTGTCGATCACCGCAGTCAGCTCTTCGTCCAGTACATTCATAGTGGGTAGAATTCTTATTAGATTTTTCTCAGACAAATGCATTTTCAGCTCGGCATAAACATTTGTTATACGTCTCAAAACTTCGGCATCCAATTGCGAGGCATTTTCTGGTAGTTTTGTGTATTGCGCACCAGTTTGTATCCAAATACAACGTTTGGCGTGCTCTTGGCTTATAAGTACGGTGTTGTTGATCTCCTGCTCAACCACTGTTGTTAAATACGAGTCTTTTAAATCATCGGAAAAGAGACGCAGCAACACTTCCAACAAGTGATTCAATTCGCCATCCACTTCGGTTGAGTAAGTATCGATTTGTTGGGTGTACAAGCGGTGACACATCGGTTGATATGAGTTGTCGATCGTATACCATTTTTCTAAAAGTACTTTCTCCTCCTCATTTGCAACGCTTAAAACAGAAGTAAAGTCTTGACTTTCAATTGTCAATGGCAACATAGGCGTACCGAGTGTTGATCCCAAAAATAGTACCGGTATAATGTACGCAGTAGAGGTATGTCTGGAGATTTCCGATAGACAATTTGCGGCTTCTTCGTGTCCGCCTTGTGCTTCCTGTGGGCTTTGCGTCCAGCGCCTGACTTCGAGTAATTTATTAAAGTCTTTCTTTGCCCCTACATCATTTTCATGTACATCGGAGATTAAGAAATCAAAACCTTTACTTTGACATTTCGTAGCGAACTGCTTAAAGAGGCTATGTACAGCACGCTTGTGCTTCTTGTACTCGGGACTATTATTCGCCAAAATGTAGATCACAATTTTTTTATCTCTTTCTATTTTGCGTCCAGGTGGAGGTTTGCCTTGAAGAATAGCCAAGTTGTTGGGTGCAGATTTTTGATTCGAAATATCGGAAGGAGCATTCAAGCCCAGTGGTGTGGTTGTTTCAGAGTCTTCAAATTATATGAAGATGTAAGAAGGTTTAAATGTTGACATATGTGAATGTATGTGTACGTATATATGTATATGATGGTAGCTTCTTTTAGACTACTTCCTCAATTACATTTGCCTCTCAATACAATTTATTTTCCAGCCACAGCTCCTATAGCCTACCGAATTGAAGTCTTTTAAAATATGGGCTAAAATCTATAAGTACTTCTTCATAAACTGCGAGGACTTCTGGGATGACGATCTCTGAATATCCGCATATCTTTGCCCTTGCTTCTTATGCAATCAATATTAATTTATTTTTCCCCCTTTTCTCCCCTTAACCAAATAATGCTAGGCCATTAGCCAAGTGAGGATGAAACGCTTTCTAGCCCGAGACATTTGCGTGATGATGCTTTCAAAACTTCCTACAATTCGCGAACCCTATCCTATGCCTAGACGGTGATGAAAATCGCTTACACCGCTAATAGTATTTAAGCTCTTAAACCTTTTATGTGTATACTCTACAATACATGTAATACTATACCTACGGTGACCATATTAACCAACGTAAAATAAAGGACATTTTTTTCAAAATGATTTGGGAATACATACATACAGCTTGTATGATAAAAGTACTTTCCCATATCGTAACTCAACTCAAATATTTACCAGTTAATTAACCGATTTCGAAAAATGAAGCCAAATCCTTTTCAAGGACTTCGCCATCCTTTGCTGCCAAAACGCGTTTACCATAATTCATACTGCACGCCAAAGCCAGCACACAGAGGTACAAAATTGGAATTTAATATTCATAATTCTTCGGGGCCTTGATTTTTCAGCCAATTCTTACTAAAAACCAATAAAAAAAATATATTTACTTTGGTGAACATTTTTTATAACATTTCAAACATTCTTTTTTTGTGTAATTTTTTCGTTTTAAAAGAACCATACAATTGTTTTCAACTAGTTTTTGTTATGTAACATTTAATAACTGGAACAGGAGAATAAATTTTTTTTAAATTGCCACTTTTTTGCATTTTACACCAAAAAATTTATTTTAATCAAATAATAATTCACAAATTAGGCCAAACCGATCGCTTGCAAATATTGTAAGCTTTCATAAAAGAAGTTAATCAAATTAAGTGACAAATGAAGGCTCCAGGAACCACTGTGCAACAGGGGGTTTATTGTTCACATTCATTGGAATGGAAACTCAGCGTGCAACACGATCCTGGACACAACTTTCCCTGCGCTTAATAGATTGTACAAAGATTACTGATTAAATAGAAATCCTTAAGTTGGGTGCGAAACAAACTGGCGAAGATTTTCTTTACATTTAAAAGGGACATTTTTATTTTTCATATTCTGTGTTTAAAAATTTACCTCAGAAAAATGCAGAGTTGATTTAAGGAACAGTTTAAGAAATAGAGGACAAAAGGCGTCCTTTATTTTGAATAAAATAAAGGACTGTCCTTTAAAATAAAGGATGGATGGTCACCGTAACTATACCGAAAACATACATACATGCCGAAACTATCACAGTTTTTGAAAAATCAGAGGTCATGACTATTGAAAGAACTTACGTCAGAGTTCAATATATGTACATACATACGTTTGTCTTCTACATATAGTCGCTATCAGATCAAAAGCTGACGAAGGTATAGGGGCAAGAATATACGGTCCTAAAGGCCAGATGTCCCTATCATATTTCAAATATCTGTGTTGTGCAGAAATATTTTCTCTAGGGCTTATACCAAGTAAGCAACCATGTTCAATCGCCTCTAATTCATCCATATCATCAGCCTTCTCAGTGCTTGGGATGTTCCTACGTATGTCCAGATACCCAGATAAGAGGGCCTGTAGTTCACTGAGCGCGGATATGCTACATATTGCCAATAGCGCCGCCTCAATATCAGAATATATTGTTAGAATATTCTGTTCCATTTCGCAGTTTCTTGCATTTTTCCATTTGCAGCCAAAAGCAGCCATTATTCGTACGTTCGCGTTTGTTGATAACATATTGAAAAATCGGAAGATCATCCCCTTTGCACCAAAGATATATGTATCTAGCACAATGCTATCGAAACATAAAAAAAAATTAATAAAAATGTATGTTTTCCTTGTTTTTGAACTTCAAAAGCGTACGAAAGTACGTTTCGCGACCGTTGGAAATGCCCATATAGTACATATACTTTATTTTATGTCGTCCTGCTCTCCTGAAGTATGTACTGCATTAATGATATTTGTTCCGATTCCTGTGCCTACAGCTAGTGGTTAACCATCATTTTCGAAACTAAAATTAATAAAAAACCTATTTGAGAAACTCCATGGGACAAGACAGACTACGTAACTTTGCTATTCTGTCTATTGAAAAATCTATGTCTCTATCTTTAAACTTCGATAATGTTATAGATTCTTTTGCGGAACAGAAAGCTCCGAGAATTTTATTAATAAATATCTTATCAAAATTAAATTGTTATTTCATTATAAATATGTATAAACCAACGGTGGGCAAACACGGCTCTTTCAGCTAAATGCGGCCCTTTGCTTAGCAAAGTGCGGCTCTTTTTGCTTTCTATTTTCTCAGAACATTTTGGATCTTTTTTACTTTTCAAAATACATATTTCTTTTCTTGTTTCTAAACATGATCTTAAAAAAAGAATATTTTATCCAAAACCATATTGCACTTGTCAAAGAGGAAGATTTGCCGATTTGAAATTATTTAAATGTACGTTTGCATACTTTATAAACCCATTTTTATGTAACATAATTGAGACTGTAATTACAATATGCGAAATACTCATTTTTAAGAAAAGCGAAGGAGAGTTGTAGTTTTGGAATTAAGAAAAGATAAGGCACTGGAAATGCAACATAAAGCTTTGCCATTGCTTGTATTCTGGCAACCAGTACCAGATTTGTAATATCCGTTGACGTAAAACCAGCTTTTCGAAAATTTGGCCAAAGGGATCTTACGTACATTAGAATAATAATAAAATTAATGTTTTTCATTTCTAATAAAAATTAAATTTTTGTTTTTGTTGTCTTTGTGTGGCTCTTTGTAGAATTTAGAATTTACATGGGGCTCTTTTCGGCCTCGTCCTTACCCATCCCTGGTATAAACCTCTGATCTTGAATATAAAATTTATGAGATATTTAACTAAAATGCACGCATTATTGCTAATAGTGTTGGGTAACTACATATGTCGGCCGCTGTGGTGTAGTGGCAAGCAGTGCGCGCTTTCACTCATCAGCACCTGGGTTCAAACCCTGGTCAAAGCAACTTCGCAAAAAATATAGAAAAAAGGTTTTCTCTTAACAGCGGTCGTCCCTCGGCAGGCAATGGCAAACCTTTGAGTGCATTTCTGCCATGAAAAACAGCTTCTCATAAAAATACAATCGCCGTTCGGAGTCGGCGTAAAACTGTAGGTCCCTCCGCTTTGTGTGACACTATCAAGGCGCACGCCACAAATCGGAGGAGAAGCTCGGCCAAACCCTAACATATGTGTAAGCGCCAATCTAAAAAAAAAACAAAAAAAAAAGAAACTACTTATGTGGTTTAACAAATTAACTTACAACGTGACAATTTTTACTGGGAGGGTCTCATCCAAAGAATTTGTACCTAAAACTTCAGCTTGGAAGATACTTGTATAATTTTCCAATCGTAGAGACAAAACCATCCTTCGATGTATAAAGAGATAGCCTCTTAATCGGCCATTCGATCTCTTTTTCATTCTCTTCTAGATGGGAATAGGGCTTGCATGCTACCGCTAGAGTTTACATTATCTACCATATAATCTCTCGTCCTTCCGAATTGCATATTATTAATAATCAACCCATGCTCTAACTGCCTTGTTTCCCAAAGGCCTGCCTTTCGGGGTTTTGGAAAGATACAACGCCAAGAAATGTAGGGAACTAGTTCCCTTCAAAAAGAAATATAAGATATACATATCCCAAATATTTGTAGGGTGGGAATAGGATAGACAATTTTTTGATTCCTAATTTATGGAAACAAATTTTATGATAATATCTTTTGTTTATAGATTGTCTTCAGAAGTAATTTGCCGGTAAATACACATTATGAGTGTAAAATTTTCTTTATGAAAATGGAAGCATCTCCAACGTGATCAAAATTAATTTTGCTGGAATTCTTCAAACTAGCAAATTTTACGATTAGTTAAAAAACAAATTGATTTTTTTTACTAAATAAACATGCGATAAACTAACGTAAATACATACATCAAAAAACAAATCTGTATAGTTATAAAAATAATAAACTATATAAAGGTATATATTTGTACGTATGTATATTGTATGTATGTACCAGGGTTGTTGCGAATATTATTCCGAAATAAAAGTTCTTTCCGGATAATAAACAAACGGCTTATCCAAATTAAACAAGTTTGGTATCAAATGAAAGAGGATTTAAATAGCTTTAAAACTGAAATGTCTAAACGAAGAAAACATATTGAAAAATATTTCAATAAAAAGTGTTAACTACTTATCATAAAACACATCTTAAATTATAAAAAAATATAAATAGAGGTCGTTCGCTATTTCTGTTTAAAAGCTATTTCAGTCCTCTTTCATATGATACCAAATTTGTTTAATTTGGACAGGCGGTTTGTTTATTAAACGGAAAGGACTTTTATTTCGGAAAAATATTCGCAACAACCCTGGTATGTGCCAGGGATGTTGCGAATATTTGCATTCACATTCTCATTTTACATATTCGCATCAAATGTTCGTTCAAATATTCGCGAATGTTTTGCGAATGCGAATGTGTACATGGGCAGAGGGTCCACTCTAATAATGTTGAAATGGCTCTAATAGTTCATTTCCACTAAGTCTTAACTGCAGTTTATTCCTATTGGAACAAGGAGATTACAACTCGAAGGGGGTAATTTCTTCTAAAAAGTACAAGCAACCGAAAGGAGAAAAGGAAACACTAAAAAATAAACCTTGCCGCTCATTCCATGTTGAAATTCTCGGAGCTTATCTGAGCTCTTAACTGCAGTTAAGCCTCTGGCGGAAATAGGCTATAGGTCTGTCTAACCAGGATGTGGACAATAACCAGCTTTTAGCTTTAAGCGCTAAACGGTTAAGTAGTATATCAAGCAGCATTGACGGGCCTTCAACAAGTACTGCTAAAAGCCTTATAAACAACCTAGAAATAATTTTCGATTCCTCCAGCGAAAGCGAAAGCTCGGATGTAGAATCTGGAGGCATTAAAAAATGTGAAATTAAAGCTCAATTGAAGGCCTATCTTAAAGAAAAACGAACTCATCTCCTTGAAAATCCTCTCAATTGGTGGAAAACTAAACTAAAATTCGATAAATTGACAGATCTGTCCCGCAAATATTTGAGCGATCCGCCCGCCAGCGTTCCACGTGAGCAATTGCTCAGTGCAGCCGGCCATATATACGAGCCTCTAAGAAATCGCCAAGTGAGAAAAAGGGCAGCACAATTACTTTATTTTTTAAATATAATATGCCCCTTTTGAACTTTAACTACTAGATTGAAACACTGTATTGATGTTATTCCTAACATTCGTATTCGCGAATGTGAAAAATATGACATTCGAGACGTCTCTAGTATGTACGTATGGGCATATGAGGAGTGTCTCATAGTGATTATACACCTACCCTTCTCCACACATCGACTGCCTTTGTGAGAATCCTTATTGGCTTCGTTGGGTGTTTGTGGTGCTGCTCCATTGTGCGAAGTTGTTGTTGTTGCTGCTAGTGATACATCTGGTGGCACTGGCTCTGGATCGGCCAAAGGCGCTAGCTTTTCACTATTATTCCCAACCGATTCTAATTGAATTTCTTTTTTATTGGCTTCTTGATACGGCGAGGAACTGCAAAAATAGTTGAACATAATGTTATTTATCACATGTATGCGACATATTGTATGTATATTAGGATGGTCCAAAAAATACACAGGAAAATTAGCCTTTTGGAATTGTCCTGCTACTCAAAAATATTGTTTATTCAATTAGAATAAAAAGCTTATCTGTGTCAATATTTTGTTCGGCACTGTACGTAGTGAAAAGTTATTAAAGTTTTTTTTTTCGTTCAATACAGATCCTACTATGCAAAACAAAAAAGAATAACGTGGTTTAAAATTTACAAAGCATGTATTTTTAGATTTTATAGAAAAACCTAATCGTAATTTTTACCAGCAAGCTTTAGTTATATTTACAACTTAAAAAAAAACTAAAATCTGGAGAATTTCCGTTGCCGCGTTTGTCTTAGTACACCCCGGTGGCCCGCACCACAGAAAGAGCCTATGGGCCCATAGATACTAAATCTGGCACTGTGGCAAGTATATTTACTTGGTAATTATAAATGGGTATAAAAGGTTTCTGATACAAATTACTTCGTCATCATTTTGGAAACATATGTATGCATGCCCAAGAGCCGAAAGGGTGCTGGAAGCGACAAAGCAATAGAAAAATTATGTGCGTGCATTTTATGCATTTCGTACTATTGAATGACAGATGGCACAGGTCAATGCAAATAACTCATAAAAATTTTTTTATGTGCAGCATGTTTTCCCGCAATGTCTCTTTATTTACTTACTCTATACAATGACAATAATTGTGATCATAACACTTACGATTACGAACACTTTAATTGTAATCCTAAAAATATTACGATTGCGATTAAAGTAATCGTAATCAAGAAAATGTTGTTTGCCATTCAAAGATATCCTTTAGAGGATCTCTTTCACCGAAAAGTATGTAAAATTGAGTTAAAGTCGAAGTAATACTGAATATTACAGCCAATAAAAAAAGCCGCGAAATCATAACATAGAACCGTTTTGGTAAAAAACAATATTTGCTTTAAGAAAAAGTAATTTCTCGATTACTGTAATGGTAATCATGAAATGCATGACTGCGACTGCAATCTTAAAAATTTAACGGTTACAACTACTGTAATCGGAATTTTCATGATAACGATTACTATAATTATAATCCTAAAATCTTTAGTACGATTACTGTCATCGTATTCATAAAAAGTACGATTGCGATTGCATTAGTCATAGTTGTTAAATTTGAATGATTACATATAAACCCAGTCGGAAAAGTAGTAATGCATTACATGTGTGATAAATGATGTAATGTATTTCTTATGGGTTCACGATTATATTACTACTAACTATGGAATCAGCATTCTAATGTATTCAAAAAGTTCCAAAAATTTCATATTAAAACACATTCATTTCTCGATACTAGGTTATGCAAAATTGAATGCCCCACTTTTCTTAGGACATCGCCCTGGGGGAAAAAATGCATTTTCGAATGTGAAAAGGGTTGTTTTACTGATTATTTTTTCGATAACTATACATTAAATGTTCCCACTGGGAAGTAGTCGCAACCAAGCATTTCACAATTACAATTACAGTAATCGGAATGCTAATAATTTTCTGGATTACAATTACAGTAATCGCAATCCTAAGTATTCAAAATGTAATCGTAGTTCTTAGTGGACGGTGCCATGCCCATTTTTACCTTATTTTTAAAGAGCTTGTTGTAAGTATCAACTTGGAGTAAACTAGCGCTCACCCTGAATTCGGAGGTGATTTGTTTATTTTTCGAAGGTAAGGTTAAATTAGTAGTGACATACCGTAACGCCATAGCCATTTTCATAACCGTAACCACATTAACTATCACCTATTGCAGGTATCATAACCATAAACAACTGATTTTTCGTAGTCAACAATGTCGGTGTTGCCAGACGCGGAACAAGACGCGGAAAATGTGAAATATCGTGGGATATTTGTGCCGAACTTCTATCACTACCACTAAGTTCTTAAAATTCAACAGCAGATCATAATAAAATATGTACATCAAATTAAAGGTACTAACTTTTACTTTCTTAATAATATAAATTTCTTTTGCATTCATTATACAATTTTGTTAAAAAATGAGTCCTCATTTTGAATCTTAAAAATTCATGATCAGATTCATAATTAGCGACTGCAAAAACCCTCGAGTAACAAGTTTTGATCGAATTCAATAAATTTTGAAAAAATTGTCCGCCATATTGGACTTTTAAAACCTGACTCAAGATATGTAATCAGTGGTCCCATAAGCTAGTGGATATGAAGTATTGTACAAATCCATCAACGCGATCCTGTCCAAATAGTTTTGTCCCGTTAGATTCCCTATTCAGACCGCTGTGCGCTACGATCGAGCGCAACGCGAGCTATGAGGGACCGTTATTTGCCGCAATAAGAAGTGAAAACCAGGGCGCACTCCTGTAAGAACAACAATGGCGACCTAGTGACCGATGTCCAGAACGTACTTAAATTGTGGAGGGAACACTTTTCTAACCTACTGAATGGTAGCAGCTCTGAAACCTGTGGAAAAGACGAACCCAAGCCCCCAGTCAATGATGACGGAGTCGATGTTTAACCCTAAACGTACATTCTTCGTTGAATCGATGAGTTGACAACGTGTGTTTACGAGCACAAAAATGAGAATGTACTTCCAGGGTTAAACACCTGACTAGAGTTGGAAAACTATCGATGGCTTTTGACTATCGAAAACATCGCTGGTTTTGTATTCAGAGGGTAAAAGCCGGCGGTACCTGCTTCATCTTATGAGTCGGAATGGACATTTAGCAAAGCAGGGCAAATAATTTCAGAGCACAGATGCTGTTTGAAGCCAAAAATCGTTGAGAAAATTTTGTCCCTTAACAAAAATATGGGCATATTTTAGCAATTTTGATCTCATTTTCAATAAAGTTAAAGTTGTAAACGAAAATGAAACGCTCTCAAAATTGGTTGTAATTTGCTTTAGTGTATTCGTTATTTTAAATTGTAGTTTGCTGTACTTACCTTCTCAAACGTTGATGAAACAGACAACAACAACTTTATTGAAGTGACAGCCCGGTGCTGTTGTCATCAGTCGTACAGTTTCACAACATGTAGCTGTCTGTATGGTACAACGGCGCATGATGTAGCATAAACAGGGTTACATTCTTACAGTAGCGATGGTTGTGACTATCGACTATCGAAGCTATCGATGGCCACGCTCATCGATAGTATTCCAGCTCTAGACCTGACTATGAAGAGGTACGAATAGCAATAGCGTGCTTGAAAAGCAACAACGCCGCTGGCAGACCTGGCAAATCCACCACAGACCAGGTATTCACAATACGAAAAATCTTGGAAAAAACCGCGAGAAAAGGATCGGCACTCACCACCTATTTACCGACTTCAAGGCCGCTTTCGACAGCACTAAAAAGAGTTGGCTATACGCCGCGATATCTGAATTTGGCATCCCCGCGAAACTGATACGGCCGAGAAAAATTACGTTGAGCAATACCACCAGCTCCGTCAGAATTGGGAAAGGTTTCAGAGCCGTTTGCTACCAAACGGGGTTTCAGACAGGGCGACTCCCTTTCATGTGATTTGTTTAATCTGATGTTGGAGAAGATAATAAGCGCTGCAGAACTGAACCGCTCAGGATAAGTTTTATACAAGAGCGTGCAATTGCTTACTGCGTTCTACCTTTTCCAAGTTGGGTAAGGAAGCAAAGCGGAAAGAGAATTAATAGGCGGCATACACAGTGCGTCTGACTCGTGAGTCGGTTTGGATGTGTTTGTGAAAATAAATTTGTGTTAGTTACACCAACATGACTCCCGTCATGACTCTGAATTATTCAACTGTGTGTAGTCGAAGGCGAGTCAACACGTACACAAATGACTCGCGAGTCAGACGCACCGTGTATGCCGCCTATAACACCGATAATAATGTCAGCATCGAAATCCAACGCATGAACCAAAAATACAAGATCACGTAAGAACGCGACGTTGTATTTGTAACTGGTTTTGAGAAAAAAGTTTGCGAAAGCGGGTTCGTCAGCTGAGCGTTTGTTTACATCACTAGCACCACTATTTTACACTTTTATTCAAGTAAAGAAGAGTTAATTCAACATGACAACACATTTTAAAGCATTTTGTTGCATCATTTTACCTAAATTGTGCGTTTAAAGTGGCTGACAATAATTTTGGCTAATTTTGGTTTTCGTTGTTTTCTTTGCTTTGTTTACTTTTCGCTCGTTTTCCAGTGAAACAAGATGGCGTAGAACCCGCTAAAAAAAATCGACTTTTTTCACTCTCTTGTTCTTACGTGATCTTGTGTCTTTCGTTCATGGATCCAACGCAGAATAATTCTTGGCAACAAGTGCTACTTTGGAATAAGTAGGAAATTCAGGAGTAAAGTCACTCGTCGCGCTTGTTCTGGTATATGGCGCAGTAGCATGGACAATGACAACATCCGATGAGGCGGCTCTTGGAGTATTCTAGAGAAACATTTTGCGGCAGATTTACAGGTCTTTACGCATTGGCGACGGCGCGTACTGCAGACGATGGAACGAAGCGCTGTAAGAGCCTTACAACGGCATGGACACATAATGCAGCAAATTAAAACACAGCGGCTCCGCTGGCTTGGCGATGTCGTTCGAATGGATACCGACGCACCATTTCTGAAAGTATTCAAATCGGAACCCGCTGGTGGTAGCAGAGGAAGAGGGAGGCCCCCACTGCGAAAGAAAGGCCAAGTGGAGATGGACTTAGCTTCACTTGGCATTGCGAATTGGCGTTAGATGGCACAGAAGAGAAAAACCTGGCGTTCTTTGTTGAACCCGGGCAAATTTCTTTGGGCGGCAAGAAGTACAGCTTTAAACATTCCCTTATACCACAAAAATATTTTAAATTATAATAATTTTGCCGACAAAAAAGTTAAAATAAACGTACAAACGCTCATATTTGCCGATATATATGTAAAAATTTGTTCTATACTTTGTTTCGGCGACAGGCGTATTCTACTGGCAATTATGAACAAAAAATTTAATGGAAACATAGCTCTACAATGGGTTTTGATCCTCCTTATTTGAAATTTAGTTTTCTTTTTTTTTACCGACTTCAATCAAATTCAATTGATGACATAATGAACTTAAGTAGCGTTAGAAAGATTAATTTCCACAACATTTTTGAAGAGGGTGGCTAACTGTTTAAAAATTTAATCCAATTAAAATGATAAAGTAAATGAAATGATGTAATATGGGCGTCAAAATAACGTGGTTTAGAAAGCTTAATTTGGAAAATATTTCTAAACGGGTTTGCCACCTGTTTGAAGAATTTTAATCAATTCATATCTATGATAATATAAATGAAATATTACGACATGTGTGTCAAAATAAAGTATTTTAATATAGCATAATTTCTAAATATTTTTTGAGGAAGTTTGTCACCTGTTTGAAAATTTTAATTCAATTAAATTCAAAATTTTTATTATTTTAAAAAGAAAAACATATACATATACATATTTTATATATTTAATTTAATAAAAAAAAAAATTTGCTAAAAGGCGTACAGCATAACGTTAACAGATCTTTTAATTAGTCTTTCGAAAGACAGTAAAGAGCTGTCAAGATAGTTTCCAGAATTGACAATTGGCTTACGAAGGACTTTTGCCTTTCGAAAGTAGTGTTGTCCCGATAACAACATGTACTTGATACCTGTACTCTTTAAAAATATTGAAGAATATTATCGATGCTACAAATGTATCGGAGAGAAGTACATACTCGATACTTACTCATATCGAACACATTGTAAATACTTTTGTCATGTGAAGAAAAACAGAAACTCTCCGACCAAAACTTACAGAAAAAGTTGCTGCAAGTTTATTCGAGTACTTTCGGTCAAAACCTACCAAAAGAGAAGCCATCAATCTTGCAAAATTTTAATGTTTGACTAGTACCGGAAAGCAGTAATTGACAGTTTCTTTATTAGCCAACTTAGCGTGTTGCCAAAACCACAACAGAACCGAAATTCAGAATTTTTGGAAAAGCAAGTAGTAATTTATCCGCCTACTCGATACCCACCTAAGTACTTGCGGGAAGAATTCGAGTCCAAAAAGTACTCAATACTTGAGGAAAGTATCGAATATTTACTTATAGTTACTCGTATCGGAACAATACTATTCGAAAGACTGCGGTGAGTAGAAAGACAGTTGCCAGAATTGCCCTGATATATTGATTTGACATTATTTGAAAATTTGCATATAAAATGTTGTATAAGATAGCCGTATGACAGAACATAAAGCGATAAAGCTCTTTTATTAATTCACCTGTATCGGTAACAAAATTTTAAGTGCGCTGAAATTCTCAGCCACCGTTTTAATATGTTTTTTATTTACACTTTTATTATATTGACAAAGTCACTGTGTTGACAGAAGAAGCGAACACCAAATCGACGACAAAGCTGTATGTAGTTACTCAACGTAACACCTCAAATTTGTAATCACATTGACTTATGACGTTTTCTTTTCTACCGAAAAATGTTGCCTTCTTAGGGCTCTTTACGCACAATTACTAAGGAGAAGGCAATAAAAATGCAAAATTTTTGTGGAAACGAAAACGCCATTAGATCAAGGCTGTCGAAACTGCGACCCACCTGTGACACGCTTACTCCGTTTGCCTGGCGCCGACTCGACGAAACGACTCATTTTCCTTTGCTTACTAAACTAAATCAGCTATTTAGTACTTAAATCACGTTGTACTACAATGTGAATCTCTTTCGATTGAGGAAAAACGAACTTAACATCTCTTTGATTGAATCGCCTGCAGTGCATTCTATGTTTTTAAAAAATTTTAAATATATAATGTTTTCACTATTTTATAATTTTTCCTTTCTTTTTTTAATTTTTCATATGGCGCGGGCCCATAGGCCGGCGCCTATGTAGCCTGTGCTTAAATCCGGCCCTGGTGGAAACATAACATTTTGTCACCAATTTTTTTAATATGGGTGAATCAATTAAATTTTTAACATCATCGAATTGTACACGGCAACACTAAGTTTGGTGCGGCAAATGTTAAAATTATTTTTGATAGATTTGAGAAAAACTTTTATTTTAATTAGTTTGGCGGAAAAAGTATTATTATAGGTATGTACATTTGTATATAGATAGTAAATATTTACATAAATGTGCATATGTATGTATGTATAAGTTTATACATACATATCTACTTACTCGTCTGATTTCTCTGATATGCTGTCGTTTTTTCGTTTATCACCAGAACTGCAAACGTTTCCCATTTTAATTTATTTTTGTTTTTTTTTTTAATTTATATTACTTATTCAATTAAGTCGTCTATGCTATTTTAGCGATTAGGTGGCTGTAAAGAAAGAAGAAGTACTTGGCGTATACATGCTTATTTAAGTACATATGTATGTATGTATGTGCATATGGCAGAGTAATGCCATCGCACTTCAAATTCAACATTCATTGTTGTGGTCTAGCCGCTATCTCACAGATCCGATATTTATTGTCGCAGTATATAATATGTACATACACATATCTACATGTACGTAGGCTTGTATACTAGCTCCATAATGTGCACATACATAGTTTGCTGCTTTGTTGCATTTAACTTTGATACCTACTGCCACACAGCACAATCACATCACTTATTACCACCACCCCTATAAGTAGTAAAATTGTACTTGTACAACAGGTCAACGAATATTCAGGGACCGCTGCAGAAGAAACGCATGCACTGATACTTAAATATACATACATATAGTACTTCAACTTATACGCGGTGTCTTTGCCATAGATATGCCTACAATAAAGTTATATACGTACATATGTATGTGTGTGTCTATACATACATACATACATATATGCATATGTACATATGTACAGTGGGAAGAGAGTCGTTTTTTCGCCACCTTCATCCCCTCATGATGATGAGCATATCATTCATTGTCCCATTTCTCATTTTTAAACAGTATCCAATTTTGTATACACATTGCGATATTTTCTTCTATCAATTTTCACAGTCGCATCTTTTTGTTTGATTTAGGTCAAAACTATGTTTATACTCATTACACTTTTAATTAAAATTTAATTTATGCGCTTCAATACGTTCAGGTTGAACACTATCACAATTTAAAACACAAATAATTCTATTAATAACACCATAGGAAATTTTTTGATTCGTATGCTTATATGTACATATGTATGTAGGTATGAATGTAGGTATGAATGTACATATGTCTGTATTCATTTAGAAAAATACATGAATGCCTCCTGGCACACCAAATATGTATGCACATACATACATACATACATACATATAATATAAACAGTAGGAACGCAATTTTTCATTTTCTAAAATTAATTTTTATTAACTTTAATTTTAGTGACGTATTAATAAATCAATTAATAGCATCAACAAGATATTTGGCACAAGGGGAGCGCTAGGAATCGTGCGACAATCAACGCGCTCCTAAGTACTGCTGTATGGGACGTTTCGTGGAGTATTTCGTTGACACTTTTTCTCTCTATGGAACTACATACATATTTTAACTTCGTCCTTTTCCACTGCACTGTGTTATACCGAATACATTGAATGCATATTTTTTATATTTAGAACCATATGTATATATTAAATTTGTATTATTATTATTTAGATACACACTTCATTGATGTATAAAACCATTTAATATTCTTTAAATATTTTTTTTTTACATTTTTATTTTCACGTCTTTCACATTTTTTATGCGCTGCATACTGATTGCAGAAAATGAAATACTTTTAGATGTTGTATTCAAAGCTCATGTGAGCTTACTAGTATTTGCGCTCATGAAGCTTTTGAAAGAGCATACAAAGGAGCCATGAGAGATTGCAAAGAATGCATGCAGACAAAGAGTGAGAGAAAGAGAGAGAGCGCGCATTAATTGAAACTATAGCAAGCATTTTCCCCATTTGTAGGAGGGTCGTTTGCCGCATATAAAAATTCATATGGATAGCTTAATTTCTTGATATTACTTATACCCACTGTTGCCACTTGAACATAATAATTCGGCTCCAAAATAAATCAAAAAATGGCCATTTGGACGAAGAAGGGACCAAATATTTATTACCATTTAAATGATTTCAAAACATACTATGTGCAATAGCGTGGGCCGAAAATCCGCTTTTTTTGAGTTTTGAGTGGTAATAGCAAACAAATGGTTCATCATATTCTAACAAGTAATTTTTAAGCAAAAAAAAAACGAGTTCAATTCTCATATATAAAAATATATATATGTATATATATATATATATATATATATTTCATAATCCAATGATCGGATCTAAACCAGATTCCGATGCAAAAAGAATTATCGAAATCGGATGACGTGGTCCAAAGTTATGCGGTAACATACATAAAAAAAATTTCGACGAACTGATAACCTCCTCCTTTTTTGGAAGTCGGTTAAAAATAATCTGTGAGAAAGATGACAATTGTTTGTCAATATCTTAGGCTCGCCCAAGTCTATCAAAGTTCAATGTGCTCAAAAAATAAAAATTATTAAATACATTCATTAATAATTCTTGTTTACTAAAATTGCAATTATCTGCGAAAGTATTAGTCCTACATAATTTGGTATATGGTCCTTTATTGTTGAGACTTAAAGTAAACTAAGCAAATTTTTTTTAGCACTTCAACCTAATGTGCATTAGGGTGCTTTTTTCGCGACAAATTTTTTCCCCCTGAAAATTTGAGCCCTTAATATTAATGTAAAGTGCTGGGCCAAAGCGTGCAAAGATTTCTCCTTTAAAATACAAGTAAATTTTGATTTTTTTCCCTCAAAACTTTACAGCTCAGTGGCATTTTATGGTATAATCTTGGTCAATGACAGGGTTTCATCAGAATTGAATGCTCTACAAACTCTGGTTTCCCCCTATCTCGTAAATAACAAGAGCTACAGAAAGATGTAAATGACAAAATTGTAGGAAATTCAATATTCTACAAAAAAGTAACACCAAATCCGGTGATTTTTGACATTTTTTTAGCAGTGTCACGGATTTTCTCCCATACAAAGTACATTCGAAAATTGTTTCTATATACATTTTAATAGACACGCTTAAAATATAAACAAAATACAAACAAAACACAATCGCACTTATCGATAATTTCCGGTGCTAATAAATGTTCAGTGTTAAATAAGACGAATTAGAAGTACTGCTTTTTAACACCTTTCAAACCTTTTATGAAAATTTAAAAGAAATATAAAATTAAATAGAAAATATTAAATATTTATTGAATTAGAGAAAGGACTATTTTGCAAAAGTAGGGTCCAAGGGACCAACGAAAACTTATGGGACCAGTTTTGATCCCATTTGGCAACCGTGCTTATAGCCATTTATTTATAAATGTTCTGCGCGTATATACTCATGTGTATCAGAGATGGTAAATATTGGTATACGAATGCCTCATTGATAACAGCTGCGACAAATTTTTTTGCATAAAAGATTTGGAGCGAATGTGACTTTGATAGAGTAGCAACAGCGCACTAACACATAATAACAGTTAAACGCAGATGTGGGAGAAAAGTTACTGTTACACAGTGTTTGGCAGTTGCAGAGTTCCATTATGAATTTGAACTGTTGTAATTATCGGAGACTTTGAATTTCCCTGCCTTTTTTCTTATAAGTGGTATATTAAAACAAAAAAACACAATAGATGTAATTAGTTCAAAATGACAATTAATTTAAATAAATAACGCGAAATTATCGTGTGTGCCAGAATTATAATTTTACACGAGAGCGTTTTTATACCTTTCATGAGCATGAAATGGTATTATAACTTTGGTCCGAGGTTTGTAAGTACCAGAATAAGAAGAGATAGACCTATTAAAATGTATACTTAAATGATCAGAACGTCGAGCTGAGTCGATTTAGCCATGTCCGTCTGTCCGTCTGTTTGTATGCAATCTAGTCTCTCAGTTTTCGAGATATCCGGATGAAATTTGGTAGGGGGGTGTATTCTTATAATTTATTAATCATTTGTCGGAACCGGAAGAATCGGACCACTATAACATACTATAGCTCCCACACAACTGATTGTTCAGATATGAGATTTTTCGTTATAACTTCTCCATTTATGCAGCTAGAAACATGCAATTTTGCAATGCTTCCACCCATTATCAACATAAAACTTGGAGTGAAAATTACAAAGATCGGGTCACTATAACCTATAGCTCCCATACAAGTGATTGATCAGATATAAGATTTTTCGTTATAACTCCTCCATTTAAGTAGCCAGGTACATGAAATTTTGCATTGTTATCACCTATTAAAAAAAAATACTTTCAGTGGAAATGGCGAAGATCGGGTCGCTATAACCTATAGCCTCCATACAACTGATTGTTCAGATATGAGACTTTTTGCCATAACTTTTCCATTTATGCAGCTAGGAGCCTGGAAATTCGCACCGTTTTCACTCATTATTAACAGAATACTTATAGTGAAAATAACAAAGATCGGGTCACTTTTACATATAGCTCCCATACAACTGATTGTTCAGATATGAGACTTTTTGCCATAACTTTTCCATTTATGCAGCTAGGAGCCTGGAAATTCGCACCGTTTTCACTCATTATTAACAGAATACTTATAGTGAAAATAACAAAGATCGGGTCACTATAACATATTTCTCCCATACAACTGATAGTTCAGTTATGAGAATTTTTGTTATAACTCCTCCATTTATGCAGCTAGGAACTTGAAATTTTGCAATACTTCCACCCATTATCAACAGAATACTTTCAGTTAAAATAACAAAGATCGGGTCACTTTTACATATAGCTCCCATACAACTGATTGTTCAGATATGAAATTCTTTGTTATAACTTCTCCATATATGCAGGTAGAAACATGGAATTTCGCACTATTTCACTTATTGTCAACAGAAAGTTTACAGTAAGATTAACAAAGAACGGTATTTAACTCAGTGAGAGGGCAGGACCAGGATGAATGTATTTGCATAAAAATTTATTAAAGCAAAAATGTTTTGGGTAGGCGTCGGGGCCAATGATAACCATCAGTTACCACCTCTGCATGGTTGTAAGTCATGCAGAGTCCCTACGGCTTGTAGCGCTGTGGCTTTGCCGCTTAAACTCTGTAAGAGTTTGTGGGGGTGTGCGTCAAGCGGGAGTGTTGAGCATCGGTTATTTATTCAAATTAGAAAATTGGGTAGGCCCTGTGGCCAATGGTAGCTCTTGTACCACCTCTGTATGCCGAAAGCAATACAGAGCCCCGTGAGAAAACTCCGGGAGAGTTTTTGATGCATCAAGCGAGTTTGTTGAGCATGATTTGGGGTGCCAGCAATTAACTTCTTTAGTAGGTTTTTTCTGCGGCAGTTGAGAAGTGCATAAAAAATCCATACCCAATGAAGAACGAGCGAATTATTTTTAAACACAAATTCGTGTGTTTATTCGCTGCACTTGGTTTTGGGCGTGAGTGCAATACAAGTGCGTGTGTGTGTTCGCTGTTCTTTGTTTATGCGGGAAATGCATAGTGCACAATGGGCCAGAAGACTGAACAAGTGGCCTGAAATCAATGTTATTTAAAAGCTTAACACAATAAACATATTTATTCTAGATTCCATTGGAGTATGCAAAACCGCAATCCTTTGACCAGGGTACGGATTTTATTGAAATTGCCTTTTTCCGCTAAAGAGATAGGGTATATTCGATTAAGAATGTCCACGATTTAGCTTTCCCTGATTCCATATATGTATACACATTTGATGTTGCCTTGTTTGCCTTTTTAAGATATTTGCCTTGTTTTCCTATTCTACCTTTAATTGTAAAAGGCAAGGAAAAAGCCCTTATTTTTGATAATACGAAAGTTTTAAACTTTCCATATTTACATTCGGCGCCACTAGTATCAACTCACGCCGAGCGCACGTTTAGTACATTCAAGGCTTTTCTTCGCGAAAATCGAATGAAAATGCTGCTTCAAAATGCACCTTGTGGTTCAATGTTACTACAAATATAGAAATTAAAGTTCAGTGGGTTAAAAACTCGAAAGGAGAAAATTGTAAAAGTTTCAAAGTAAAAATTTTTCATGTAATGAAACTAGTTCATAGTTTTTTCTTTTTACTTGTAAAATAAACATTTCTAAAATAAATTTATTTTTTGATTATCTTTCGGTTTTTGTCTTTTTTTAGTGCCT